CACAGACTCTCCAATCATTTGATTACATCCAGGAACGGTCTCCTCACTCCCGTTGATTGCTGCTGCCCCCTCAACCACTCAAGTCCAGCGCAAGTCGGTCAAGCTCTACATCAAGCCGCCCGTCTTCGCCAAGCACTTCATCAAGATGGTCAAGCCGGACGCTCAAGCACTTCAAGTCAAGCTCGACAAGTCGTTCAAGAACCCGTCATGCCCTCGTCTACAAGCCGCAGCAGTAACCAAAAGTACGTGTTGTCCTTAGCTTTCCGACAGGAGGTCGGGCTCCTTAGCGTCGGTTAGCTCCCCTCCCTCGTTTTGTCTCTCTGAGCCCCACCCTCTAGGTCCTAACCCTAATTTTCGGCCCTCCCGCTCCCAGAAGCACCGTGATACCCTATACCCAGCCCAGCCCTACCACTTTTCCACTTTACTTTGTGCGGTAGAGCTCCACCCTCCACCTATCTGTATCTCGGGCATGGGGATCACCACCTTTTTTGTCGGGCCGAGGTCCCACCACTCTTACATTCCAAATACCTCCGCCTTCCAGCCCAAAGACTAGACTGGACCAGGTCTCCGTATCGCCCAAGTCAGGACCACCAGATTGGTGAGAATGATGTAAGCACAACACAGTTCTTCCCTGGTTCAGATCCTAGTAACCCTGAAGCCTCGCGGCTGACGGGCCCCTACAAGGCGCGACCTCTCGGCTTCTCGTGGGCCGGGAGTGTCGAAAGTTCTGTACAAAGTACAGGACTTACGAGGTTTAATTGGTCTGTGGGGCGGGGGCCTTTTCCCGGGGTCCCGCAGCGCGCCCTACTACGGTAGGGAAATCGGGCGGCCTAGCTCTGTCCCGCATTTATGGGCCACTTCTTCCCTTCCCAGGGAGTCGTTGCCGCCGGTCATTTCCATGGCCGGTCGGGATTGAATAGGATCTGTGTGGTGGTTAGTCTACCCACAGAGCCCTGTTATCGGGTGATTTCCCTCCCCCGTGGATTCCCTACTTGTATTACACCCAGAGCTCTTTCCGCCCTTTCCTCGTCTTACTTCCAGTGGTTCTATTGGCCCTTTGTGTACTCGTCTCGGTTGCTCTTTTCTCTTCTTTATACTAATAAACCATTCTTATCCACACGTCTCTATTAGTGGTAATCGCATTGGATCTTATTCATGGTCTGCAGGGTCAATCTTTTGGCATACATTAGTCTTACAGACCTCCACTGACCCGACTACCCGTGTATAGGGAAGTGTGATGGGTCGTAGGAGGAATAGGTGGCAAATCCTTCGCGTGGGCATTATTGGGATATTTATTCCTAATAGTGCGGATTGCTATTCCTTTTCGACAAACTTTGTGATTAGGCCTAATTTGAGGTGGCGATCATTTTTCTAATACATCGCGCAGCACGAAAATCAGCAGATTCCCGTTAAATTGCCAATGTGAAATAGTTTTTGTGGGGTTCGCGCCAATGGCCGGCTGGCCGCCACCTGAAATCATGCCAAAAAGATGCACAAAATTTTTCTGCCTCGATCGATGTATCATTTAGGTGATGGCCAGATCGCCGTTTTCTCAAAAATAGCTTGTTGTATCCCGATCCCCTTATAACAGGAAAGTACCGAATTTTTGCATAGGGCATGGCTTTCAGATGTTTGCCACTTTTCTGATGTTGCTTCCTCGCTAGGAGGACCAAAAATCAAGTTCGACGAAAGAACACTGGTTTTAACTTGAGAATTGGGGGTTATCAGGATGCATAAAAATGAATTTAGACTATAATTATTGGGGGTGCAGCAGGGCGGAGGCTGGGTTTGTTTTCATGGCAATTTTGGATACCTTTTGAGTTACCCTATTACTCATCCGGGGTCATATTTTTTTCATAAATTTTTGGCAGGGGGAACTGTATTTTTTTGGTTTTACTATATAAAATGTAATGGTAGATATTTTGATATTTTCCGGCTTCTTTTATGAAACGTAATGGTATATTTTAATTTGAAAACAACCTTAAAAACTTTTTATATCAGAAATTTGGTGGGAAAATCTACATTTTCTATATTTTAGTGTGTTGTCGAAATCTGCAACTTTGTTTTTACCACAATTTAAAGTTGTTTAAACTTGTAATTTACAAGCGATTCCCCCCGATAATACAAAAGAACCGACTTTTAGAAGCAACCAGCAGCACTTTGCGCGTGGTTTGAGTCAAATAAAAACAATGCAGAAAAGGGTGATTAGCGGCGCGCGAGGGCGGGGGAAGCGGGCCGTTTTGCCAACTTTCCATGGAAACCCCAGGGGTACGGGGATGGCATCTGGGGTAATTAGAGTCATTAAATCGCTCGCCGATTGCCCCGCTGTTGTACTGCTCTTGCCGGATTTTGCTGTTTTTCAGAATCGAGCTTCTTTCCTTTTGCCTTTTTTATTCACATTTTGCCATTTAATTTTTTGATGTTAAATTCCTTTTGGTAGGTATCTTATTAAACAAATTAGGTAGAGCCGTTTTCTATCATTTTAAGATGCGCAGAAGTCCTAATAGCAGTTATGTTGTTAGATACCTTTCCGGAGACGCAAAATTTACTGAGTGAAAATGGGTTGCTATGCGGCTAGGCGTGCCTTAGCCCATCCAGAGCTAAACCTGAGCGTTAGTTAGGCCTAAGCCTAAGCCTAAGCCCAAAGCTTAAACCTAAGCCTAACAAATGCCTGAGCCTGAACCTACACCTAAGCCTAAGTCGAAGCCGTAGCCTAAGATTAAGCCTATGGCCAACCTAAAACCAAGCTCGCGCCAGCTGAGCCTAAACCAAGCTAGGCCTTCTTCTAAACCTCTGTCTGATTTCTAAGCCAAGCCTAGGCACAACAAATCGCCCTCCTGGAAAAATGTGAGATGTTTGTCTATGTTATTGGCTAACTGCTTTCATTAATAACAATCTACGAATTGGATGATCACAAATCCGAGCAAAAACCTAGTGGGGCTCATTTTGCGCAAGTGCCACAGTTCCCCGGGGGCCATCCGAAGCCGATGAAATGAAATTGAGACGCTTGTTTTCATCAAAAATTACAGAAAGGCCCCTGTTTTCCGGGAGTGCACTTTTTACGGTATTCACAGGAGAAGTGTTGGGCACTGCCCGGAACTGCCGCAAGCGCAATTTAGGGTTTGCCTGGGCAATTACGCAAAAAAAGAATAAGGGATCTTCGCATTTCTAAAATTTTGAAAAATCTGGTATATAAGGGCAGCACTTTTGAATTTTTTCGTGTTTGGCGACAAATTATGGGTTGGGGTTGCGTGGAAGTGTACGGCGCCGTGTAGCCGGATTTTTTGCTACGTTTCCACCGTTTTTTGGTGCCAATTTAGTACTGGATCGTTAGCGGGGGGGTGGGGGGGTTTATGGGAAAAACTATTACTTTATTTTTACAGCTTGTTGTTAATAACCAACGCATAAAATTAAATTTTTAGTTTTTAAAATAATTTTTTTTGATAAAATAATAACAATTATTTTTTGGGGTTGGGTAGCTTTGATTGCTAGCCGCTTATGAAATGTGTAGCAAAAATTTGAAGATTAGAAAATTTGGTACTATTGAAGTTGGGGGGGGGGGCAAAATTTTTTTGCGGCCAATTTTCGTCATTCTCGGCTATTTTGTTCAGTTTTTAATGCTGAATTGAATGCAACTATTTTTAAAATTATTGGATTCGTTTTTCTGAATATTTTAGCAACATTTTTAATAGTAGTTTTATCATCGGGTTTTCGGGCGGTATACAGTAATGATGCCTAAAAGACACTCGATAGAGGTATAAAAGGCAACGTGGAGCGTTCAAAGTTTACTTTTCGCATTTAACTTGGCCAACACGATGGCCAACTCAATCGACGCGTTGCGCGACATAAAATGACGACACAGGAATTTGGAAATGATCCGTTCTTTCACTACTGGTCGCACGTCACGGAGGTTTTTCCCTGCGAGTGAAAGTTGTTATGCTATTTTGTTGACCTAATTGTTACGTTGTTATTATCAAATAAATTTAAAAATAGTTGCATTCGATTCAGCATTAAAAACTGAACAAAATAGTCGAGAATGACGAAAATTGGCCGCAAAAAAATTTTGCCCCCCAACTTCAATGTACCGAAATTTTGACATTCTTTTGGGATTTGTCGTACAATTTTTTCCAAAAGTCAAAAAAAGGTCGAAAACAATTATGATAGTTAATAATAATGATAACGAAATATATTATGATAAGTCTTAACTATGTAAAATGCTGTAAAAAATGGATTGTATTTCGTTATAGAATTATCATACGGAATTAGAGCATGTAATGTCAATTCAAAACGCGGTTAAACAGCGCTGTTTGTGCCCCCCTTCCAGATACCGTTACCGTAGTCCCCAAAACAAACGCTACGATTGAACGAGAGGCTGTACTCGGCGTAAAGTCACGTAGTCGGGGACCAGTAACCGGAACCTGCCAAGCCAAGCATTTTTCGTTTAGTCTTACTCACCCGAGTTCCGCTTCGCGCCCTAATGACCACCTTGTGGCCAACACTGTACTCGCTGCCGGCAATGGGGCAATAGGAGGGGATTTCGCGAGTGGCCAGACAGCCTCGAAGAATAGAATCACCTGCGCCGACTTTGTCCCTTTCTCTTTCCCTTTCCTCACAAACCCCATTTGATTTTCGATGTACAACCCTTGAAGATCATATTGGGGGCTAGAGCAGCAGCTCTCTCACTCTCTTTCTCTCTCGTCCTTCACTCTCTCTCTCTTTCCCGCTCTCTCTCGCTCTCTTTTCTCTCTCACGCTCCCTTTTTTTATCTCTCTCTCTCTCTCTCTCTCTCTGTGTGTGTTTCTATCTCTCTAGCTCTCACTCACTCTCTCCCCACCTCTCTTTCTCTCTCGTCCTTCAATCTCTCTCGCTCACTCTCTCTCTATCTCTCTCACTCTCAGTCTCATTCTCTCTCGCACGCACTTTCTAGCGCTCTCTCCATCGCTCTTTCTATCGCTCTCTCTCACACTCTCTTTCTCTCGCATCAACCCTTTATTTTCCAGATGCCTCTCTGGAAGCGCCGTAATACTGCGATGGAACCGTATGAGGTTCACCACATCGCCCCCACCCAGCCCTCCACTTCCGGGGCTACCGCTACGCAGCGTAAGTTAACGGAATAGCACGCGTAAGTATATGCTTTTGCGCCGTGATACGCAACGCGGATGATTCCGAGCCGACTCTGAGCTCCGGAAATCGTACTCCCTTTCAGAAGTTGTGACATCCGACCAACCGGGCGCTTCCCAAAATTCGAAGCTCGACTTTTCCTTCCTCCTCTGCACGCGGCAATCACTCTTCTCGGTACTTTTCGCCGCTAAATCCGATTAATTTTCTGAACCCTGTAAAAATAATTTCGGAACAAGGCGTTTTCAAACGATTCCAAGGTTCATGGCGAAAAATTGAGAGGCACGAAATCGTAAAGCTCGTTCGCGTTTTTGGCGAACGATTTGCGTCACGTTTGCGTCGCGGCTGCCCATCCAACACCTAGCTTCCCCTTCAACCCTAACAAAATTACCTCATAGGTCCAGGTGAACACGAATGTGAGTCAGCAGTTGGCACTGCCGCGTCTTCCCGGCGAGATTGGTAAGCCTAAGCCTAAGCCTAAGCCCAAGTCCAAGCCTAAGACTGAGCCTAAGCTTAAGCCTAAGTCAGAACGTAAACGTAAGCTAAGCTTAACCTAGGCCTAAACCCAAGCCATCCTTTAACTTAAGCCTGAGTCCAACCTAAGCCTAAGCTAAGGCTAAGCCTAAGCTTAACCTAGGCTCGACCAAAGATCCAACATTTAGACTACAATAATCTGCGCGAGCTCGTCCGCCGGAATGCCGAAATTGAGAGGCAACTTCTGAAAGATCAGTGAGTTTAAAAATTCACATATTTTTTTGGATACATTTATGATAAAAATACACTATAAATTGTATTAAATATAATTTAGTACAATCATTGTCAATATTTTAGGGAAGCCGAAAAGAAAACGCTAAAGATTTTGCTGCTCGGCGGGCCGGCGAGTGGGAAGAGTACGATTTTCAAGCAGATGAGGTGCACAGGAGCATTCTAATGCTATAACTGCGTTTTCTTTGTAGAATTCTGCATCTGAATGGCTTCTCCGAGTTGGACTATGTCAACTTCCGCTATCTCGTCTACAGTAATGTGGTGGAGGTCAGAGAGTCAAAAATGAGGAGATAGAGAGCTAGAGAGAGAGAGAGAGAGAGAGAGAGAGAGAGAAATAGAGAGAGAGAGAGAGCAGAGAGAGAGAGAGAGAGAGAGAGAGAGAGAGAGAGAGCGAAAGCGAGAGACAGAGAGAGCGAGAAGAGTCAAACAATTTTCCCTGAAAAGGCCATCGTTATAGGCAACTCAGCAACTTCTTGCGGGTGCTCGGAAGTTGGATTTGCACTTTGAAGACAATGTCATTGTGAGTTGAGTTCTATTTTTCATATACTCTTAATATATTCATTGTTCAGTTAATTTTTGATAAAAGTGCAGTGATGTTTGTTTTAGTATGATTTCAAGCTTAATTTTTTTAATTAAACCAGTAAAACTGATGTAAAAAACAATTTCCAGCGCGACATCGTCTACTTCGAAGACCAATACAACCATATCCCGAGTTCTGAAATCGAAGTGGACATGGAGATGGCGATGGCCATTCATCGGTATTTTTAGCTAAAATTATAAAAGTTTTAAGGCATAGATATAGCTATCGGTATAGTTTAAAGTTTAAGCTGGCTATAATACCGACCATCGAAATACCTGACAGGCCGAAATCCGGACACATTCTTGACGCTAGTTGGAATGGCGCTTCCACTTAAACAGCTATTTTGCATACCATCGGACTGTCGGGATTTTGGCCTGTCCGGATTTTGACTGTCGGGATTTTGGCCTGTCCGGATTTTGACTGTCGGGATTTTGGCCTGTCCGGATTTTGACTGTCGGGATTTCGACATAGCGGGATTTTTAAAAGTATCAATTTATCAAGCCTGAATCGACATTTTTTAGCATCTACCGCTCACCGTGCATCCGCGACGTCATCAGCCGACGCAGCGAGATCGAGTTGCTCGACTCGGCCACATAGTGACCCATTTGACGAGGGCTTTGATCCAAATTTCAGTTTTCTCGACGAGATCTTCCGGATCTGTGAGCCAGACTATATGCCCAGTCAGATGGACGTCATACGGTAGCATCAGGGGCATAAAATAGGCATAACATTTCAGTTCTCGAATCCCTACCACTGGAATTAACGAAATCGAATTTCCCTATAAGGACGTTGTTTTGAGGTATGGAATATTCATTTATTTCATAAAAATTCCAGCCATAATTCCGACAGCCAAAATTTCGACCGGCCAAAATATCGACAAGCCAAAATATTGACAGCCAAAATGTGATATTTCCAGTCGTTTTTGCCCATAGGCCGTTTTAAAATTGGAGTTTCTGGCGGTCGGGATTTTGGTTTTTGGGATTTTGAATGTCGGGATTTTAGCTGTCGGTATTTTGAATTTCGGAATTTTGGCTGTCGGGATTTTGAATGTCGGGATATTGGCTGTCGGGATTTTCGCTGTCAGGATTTTGGCGTTTTCCCTTACGCTGTGTCCCGGGCTACGTCACCTAGCAAAACTCAAACGACCCCCGCTTAGAATGGTCGACGTCGGCGGGCAAAGATCTGAACAACGAAAATGGATCCACTGCTTCGACAACGTCTCCGGCGTGCTATTCGTAGCCGAAATATCCGGATACAACCAGAAACTGGATGATGGCGAGATACTAGTGGTAGGAGAAACGCTTCAATTCATTTCTCCCGTTTTAGAATCGGCTGAAGTACAGCCTGCACCTCTTCAAACGTGTCGTCAACAACCAGGTGTTCGGCAAAAAGACGGCCATGATTCTGTTCCTCAACAAAATTGACGTCTTCCGCGAGAAGATACAGCAGACACCAATCAACGTCTGCTTCAAGGACTATAAAGGTTTGTGAGGGCGGCTGGACGGAGTATGCGAGCGTAAAAGCTTACGTACAATTCAGGCCCACCAGCGTTTGAGGCCAGCTCGACGTACATCAAAGATCGATTCGAGCGCTACGTGACTGGGGAACGTCGAATTTACGCTCACTTTACGAACGCGACCGACACCCGGAATATGGACCGCGTCTTCGGCGCCTGTATCGACGTCGTGCTGAAGTTGAACATGGAAAAGATTGGTTTCATGTAGAACGCTGCTGTAATGTTTTGCGTTTCCGCCTACAAAGTACAAAATAAACGGAATAAATCTATTTTTCTCGCGGGTTTTTATGGCTCTAATTTACGTTTTTTGCAATATTAATACTTACATTTTTTGCCATGAAAGTTTGGAATTCTAGCCATAATTTGGACAGTCAAAACCCCGACGGAGAAAACGCCGAAATCTATTTTCAATGCCAATTCTTTCTAAACAACTCTGGCATGTCGACATCCAGGCTGTCGGTATTTTTGTTGACGGGATTTTGTCATGTCGGTATTTTATTTACCGGGATTTTGGCATGTCGAGATTCGGCTATCAATGGCTGTCGGGATTTTGGCATGTCGATATTTCGGCATTTCGGCTTTTTTGGAAGCATTCCTTTAGTGTTTGAAAAATAAGTTCGACCCCAAGTATGTTTATGTGGACTTTCTAGCCGTTTTATCGATGTCTGCTCATTCACTTGTTTTCTCGACCCCCGGATGCCCAGAATAAATCTTTATGTAATGCCGAAAAAATCGGAAAATCGATGCGAGACCAAAATTGCCCTATTGGGCATTGACAAATCGATGGTTATGCGGCAATCGCCGGCCGACCAGCGGATTCGGCCGGTTCGGCGTCGTCCCGGTGTGAATCATGTGGTTTCCCGCTTTTTCGAAGAGGCGCGGCCAGTCCACCAGCCTTTTCCTGAATGAAGTTATTCTTACAAGATTCATTGAATTTTTATAACATTTCCAAAATTTAAGACTCGGACGTGTTGAACCCTTACCCGCCCCGCTTTCGTGGCGTCGGATCGGCGCGTTTCACTTCGGCAAAGTTTCGGTTCAAATAATCTGAAATAAACGTTGGAATTTCGGCTGAAATGCCGACAGCTGGAATCCCGAAAGACAAAACCTCGACAGCCAAAATCCCGACAACCAAAACGCCGACATATTTTTGAGCTAATGTGCACATCAACTCGCTATAAAAGCAACCTGGCTTGTCGGGATTTTGGCTGTCGGTGTTTTAGTTGTCGGGATTATAGCTTTCAATTTTGGTGTCGGGATTTTGGAATGTCGGTATTTTGGTTATGGGGATTTTTCTGTCGGGATTTTTGCCGTCGGCAGTCTGAATCCCGGCCTTTTACATGTCGGGATTTTGGTGTCGGGATTTTGGTCGGTCGAGATTTTGACTGTCGGGATTGGGGCGCCGGTATTTTTGCTGTCGGGATTTTGGATGTCGCCCTTTTTCATGTCGGTATTTTGGTGTCTGGATTTAGATTAAGATATTGGATGTCGGCATTTTAGCGCTTCCCGGATTTCGGCTCGAATCCGGCATTTAAAAATGGTAGAACTGGTTGGCAAGCGAATCCAAAAACCGACCGACAATCTCCTGCGGCGGTGCGGCTGGGGGTTGAGGTCCTGGCGTGAAGCGGGGCTCGATGTAATACGACTAAACACTAGGATTCTACAATTTCTGTTCGACGTACCGCGGATACGGTAGACGCGACGTCATCATCATCCGGCTGGCCGGTGTACGAGGCTTCTGTATCGCCCACAAATCCCTCGTTTACCGGGGTCGACGCGTCGAATTGGATACCCTGCGGGTAGTTGTTCTGGAAAAGGTCGTTGGTCAAATTCTCGTGCTTTCGCATTATCGGGGGGGGGTTGGAAGTGACCGATTTTTTTGTATAAGCCCAGAAATTATGGTAACAGATTCAAATTTTTAGTGATTTAATAGTCTTTTTAGCAAAATTTTACACTGTTTTACGGGGAAAAACCCGACTATTTTTTGTCGAAAAATCGATATTTTTTGTATTTTTGTAAAAATTTGTAGTGTTTGTTTTTCGTAATCGTAAAAACCGTGGAAAAAATTCCCCTATTTTTATTAGCAAAATTGGACCGTAAATAAGGACCCTCGTTTACCCCCTCCCCCGATATTGCACGGGAACTGGAGTTTTGGTTAAAAAAACCTATATTTCTGTATTTTTTTACCAAAAATTTTCATGCGCTGCGTTGCGTTGTGCGTTAGTCATCGTAAAAAACAGCGTAAAAACAAGTCCTGAAGAGAAATTGGATCGTTAAGAAGAAAAAAATCTTTCGCCTAATAATCTCCCCCGTTAGTGCGAAAGAACCGATATACCTGATATTGGGGCGGCAATTGTGGTGGAGGGGTGGGATACTGTGGTTGTTGTGGCTGGATGTCACGGGGGATGTATGATGATGATAGGTGTTGTTTAGGAGGGCACGGACAGTAGAGAGCGTCCCGCCCAGGTCTTCCATGGGCACCTGCACCGCCTGGGCTTCCCACGATCCCGCGTGGTCCCTGCGAAATGAAGCGATTAGTTGGAATTCGCATCGAATAAAATTACGGAAATTGAGTACAGGGTGTTCCAATAAAACACCCCTCTAACTCCGATGCAGAAGTATCGGATCGGAACGTTAGCTACACCTTACGGATCCCCTTGAGACGGTGACTTTGTAACAATCTTTAAAACTACGTTTTAATGAAACAATTTTACACAGAATTTCAAAACATTAAACAACGGCCTCTGCATCTAATTAACGACTATTTTCGATCATTTTGCTTGGGGAAATTGAAGCAAATTAGCTCGCGTGCAACCCCGGAAAATCGGAAAATTTTACAAAATAGCTTGTAAAATAGCGGGTTTAAAATTTAGACCAGGTTTTGAAAATTGTTACAACTGGACGTCTTAAGGGCTTTCGAATGGTGTAACTACCATTCCGATCCGATACTTCTGCGCCGAGTTAGAGGGAAATATTTTTATTGAGATTGGGATTAAGTTAACTATACAGGTGTCCCTAATAACACCCCCTCTAACTCGTCGCGGAAGTATCGGATCGGAATGGTAGTGACACCACTTAAAGCCCTTAAAACGGCGAGTTTCAAACGATCCTCAAAACCTGCTTTGATTTGAACTCGATACTGTACAAGTCATTTTGTCTGTGCGCTGTAAAATAGCGCGTTCAAATAGAAATATGGTTTTGAAAATTGTTGCAAAGTCGTCGTTTTAAGGGCTTTCGAATGGTGTAACTATCGTTCCGATCCAAAACTTCTTCACCGGGTTAGAGAGGGTGTTTTTGTGGGATACCCTGTAGCAATCCAATAAAAATAATTAAATAACGCATATGTTGTGTAAAGAAACCTGTGTTCCGCGTCTTCCGCACGGTCCCTGGAGCCCTGGAGGGCCATAGTCCCCGGATTGACCGCCAAGGCCGCGTGGGCCAGCCACTATAAGGTATGAAGGTATCGTATCGTAACGTATCGTAAGGCATATTGCATTTAATTATTTACAAAATAAATTCAAGCCCTAGGCCCAAAAACACACCCCCAATCGAGCCGGAAATTCCCTTTCTGCCGGGCAATCCGTGTCCTCCTTTGACGCCATTGGCACCTGCCGGTCCCTTGAGTCCCGGATATCCAGCCTGGCCACGCTGGCCACATTCACCCTAAACGGGGTTAAAACGTATGTTAAATACAACCGACCTGCGGGCCCGGTTTGCCCGATTTTCCGGGTCTGCCATGTTCGCCGAACGCCCCGCGAATGCCCTTGTGTCCCACCTGGCCGCGCGGGCTTGAAAAATGCAGGTACTGGACTGTTAGCGGGGGGGGTAATTTTTGTTTCTGCCTAGACTGACGGTTATAAAAGGTATTTACTTCTTGAGAACCGAAAATTTTTACCGTTTTTTGCTATTTTTCATAGATTTTCGACGAAAGCCACAAAACATTTCAATATTTGTAATTGCTTTTTTACTAACAGAACCGTTTACAATGCTATAAAATGCGCAATGTTTTTTGGCTATAGGGCCGTACGGGATCACTGTAAAAATTTGGTCCCCCCACTAAGAGTCCAGTACCAAAAAGTACGATACTTACTTTACAACGGTGTTCGCAGACCATAAAACCAAAAAAGGACAGTAGCATAAGGTAACAACTTATCTTTAACTCCGCAGGGACCCGGTGGACCTGCAGGACACGGTTCATCGCACAGCTTGAGCTGTGGCTGCGCATAGGCGTCGGCTCCGTATTGGGCAGCGGGAGAATAGGTGCCAGGACGAGCGGGAGCGCTCCTTAATATATATTTTGAATTTGTCGAAAATTAAAATGTTTACATTCATCATGTCGAGTACTATTTGTCGAAATTTCACTTGGCCGACAATTCATTTTATCGCAAACTAGAGTGTCGAACTGAATTTTTCGACATCTGGGTGGCTCAAAAATGATTTTGTCAAACTGCTGGTCGCTATTGCATTTTGTCGAAATATCAATCCGCAGGAATTGCAATTTTCTACATGTTTGAAATGGATGAATCGCCACTGAATAAAATTTCGACAAGGCACAATATCGACAAAATCATTTTCGACAAACTTGCAAGCCGACAAAATGGCATTTCGAAACATTGAAATGTCGATACAGTAAGATTTCGACAAAACAAAATGCCGACAAAGTGTGGTTTCGACAAAATGGAATACCGACAAAGTGAAATTTCGACAAAATCAAATACCGAAAAAGTCCATTTTTTGAAAGAATGGAATATCAAGAAAATGGGATAGGGAGGGAAATGTCGACAAAGTGAGCTTTCGACATGCTGATAACAAATCGTCTATTAGCTGATAATTTAAGCAAACCTACGCGGGGTTGGCATAGAGATTAGCGGCCGGGGTGCCGGGGTAGCCGGGAACACCTGGAGTTCCGGTTTCGCCGGTTTCTCTGCACAATTTGATAAAACAATGCCTAAAAGTTAAAAAACGTACCCGGGCGGTCCGGGCGGTCCCTTGTAGCCGATTGGACATTTGTAGGAAACGGGCAAATTCTCGTTGAGCGCCGCCGCCGGGTTGTCGGCACAGCAGCCTGAAGGGATAAGGAAATTAATACCATCTAATGTGTATAAATTTTAGTAGATTCTGGGCTATCCGGGAAGCTTCGTAGAAATCTCCATTCCCCTTTTTCTCAGTTAAAAAACTGGCATTAAATATAAACAACAAACATTTCAGCTTAGTATAGCCATATCCATATTTTGGGCCCGAATATCGCTGTTTGGTGGCTGCGTAGGATGGTGGGGAAGCCGTGGTGTACGCCGTTGGGTATTCCGGGTCGGCGAGGCCTGGAAACAAAGCCCTTAACGCGTACGGAAGATACGTATAACGCTTATGCTGGGTTGGTCGGAAATAAGGAAATAAAAAAAGGAACCGATACTTAGATTGCGGCGTATACACCTTGAAAGAGAGAGAAAGAAAGAAAAAGAGAGAGAGAGAGAGAGAGAGAAAAAGGAAAATAAAATAAAAAAAGAAAAAAAAAAAAAGGAAGAAAGAAAAAAGAGAAAAAAAGGGAAAATATAAAAAAAGAAAAAAAAAAAAAGAGGAAGAAAAAAAAGAGAAAGAGAGAGAGAGAAGAGAGAGAGAAAGACCGGTGCCCTTCGAAGTGATCGGACCATACCGTATTCCTGCACAATTTGTCGGCGCCGTCTCCCACTCAATCCATCGTCCATCTGCCGTAGCGCTTGCCACATTTCGCGGGCCTCCGACTAGAACAAAATTTATGAGAAGAAATTCCAGTCAAAATCCCAACAGCGTAAATGCCGACAGGCCAAAATGCCGACAGGCCAAAATGCCGACACGTTCTTGCCGCGAATTTGAATGGCAGCTTTTTAAACAGCTATTTTGCATGTCGGGATTTTGGTTGTCGGGATTATGGGTGTCGGGAGTTTCAATATCGGCATTTTGGCCAGTCGGGATTTTGACTTTTCCCATTACCAGAGGGTTCAAATTTTTTTGTGAAAACATCCAACATTAACAGAAGTGAATGCCGTCGACAGCTCCTTGTCGATGTCGTCGATCATGCTGAGGATGGTGGCGGAGAAGATGAGAAGCGAGGAAGAAGCCTGGAAAAAAAGACAAATTCTTATGTCGTTAAGATATCCGGAAGATAGCGAACATGTCGAAATTAAGGACCCACCAACTAGCGCCAATCCAAGCGCGATCCGCACGGTCCTGCTGGGTACTGCCTCGTCTTTAAGCGTCATGTGGAATATTCCGAGAATCACACCCCCCTCCTCCACTACAGTATATATAGCTGTGAGCAGCAGCTGGGTAGTGCATCAGTGTCTTCTGTGCCTGCCCAATAATTGCAACCCTTGGGGGTGTGAACTGGTTTCGGGCCGGAAGGTGAGCCCCCACCCGAATCATACTGACAGCCTGAATGCCCTCGTTTTTTGAAGCCCACACCCTTTCTCTCGCGCTTTTTGCGCCTTGAGAAGTGCCGGTGGCGGGGGGGGGGGCGTCCCGCGGCGATCGGGCGCTTTGAAGGGATTATGGTTAGTGGGGATTGGCACCTGGCGGAGTTGGGAAAGATTTTAGAAACCTCGAAAAGCGACGCTAATCAGAAATTTCGGGATTTCCAGAATAGCCTTCATAGGATTTAGATTTTAGATCCTAGATTTAGAAAACACAAAAAATACTTTTTCTAATTTTTTGATTGTTTTAACACTTGAAACATAGTTTGAACACTTGAACTTAGACTCGGCAAAAATGATCCACAAAAACGAGAAAAAATAGCTCTAAAAAGTTTGTTTCCCTTTTGGATCCAAAGCAAAATAAAATAATTTATCGTGTAATCTCTGGCTCTACAGTTCATCGTGTGCTTCGTTGTGTAGTGGTGGTCGTGGCAGCGTGCCTGGTTCGTGCCATTTTCTAAAGAAAAATGGCAGTTAAAAGCGAAAAGCAAAAATCAGTTTCACCTCGACGCCATCCCCCTACAATCCTCAAAATTCTCGCCCAGCGCAACGTTTTTCAGGAAATCGAGGTGAAGGGTGGATTCTGGAAGAATTTTCCGGTCTCCCCGCAAGGTTTACCTCTAGCTTTTGCCATCTCCTCTGGCTTTTTCACAAATTTCTTCAAATCCAGCGGCTTCTCGGGGTCGACCGGCAACACGTAAGCGACGTCGATTTCCTGATTGTATTAGTGTTGGTATTCACATACTTATTTCTAAACCAGCGCCCAAAACCCGCTTCGCGGGCCTTGGGCGCTGGAATGCAGCCTTTGCATGCGAAATTTGACTTTCCGAGAGCTTGGGTCCTTGGGACCCTTCCCTTCCTTCGACCACACCCGCGCGTGCAACTGGCAAGAATGAGGAAATTGGTATTTCTTGGAATTATGCAAAGTAGCCCTCCCTGGCGCCGGACACACACACACAGAGATACACCCCAAAATTATACAGGGTGTCCCAAAAAAACGAACCATCTGGCATTTCGCCGTGTTACATCCAATCGGCCCCAAATTTGGACCAGAGGTGTATCAGACCCTAAATAACAACAATCCTGACTTATAGCCCTGTAGCTACAGTCGTTCTCGAGTTATAGCGAAAACAAACTTTATTTTCCATTTTTCATAGGGTTTCCGTGGAATTCGGTCCCCTAAACATTAAGTGAAAATGATCCGGTAGGCCTTCTTTACTTTAAGAAATTTTGCTTAGGCTTAGGCTTAGGCTTAGGATGTAACACGGCGAAATGCCAGATGGTTCGTTTTTATTGGGACACCCTGTATAAGGTAGGATATACTACCTCGGTAACACTGTACTTTGCCCCAGCCGGAAGCTCCCAAACTTTTTATATTACATTATTTTGGGCATACTATGCAGTATATTTTTTGATGCTCTATCGATTCTCCGAGCCAAAATCCCGACAAAATGTCGGAAATGTCGAAAGATTTTGGGAACTTCCGGATGGGGGGGCGATAAGGTAAAGTCTAGCCCCTACCTCATTGTGGTTTACCAACACCCACTGGGCGCGGTCGAACTGCTTCAACCCGGCCCACGTCGAGAAGGCCAGGCCGAAGGGTGATGTGCTGAGAAATGCAAGATCAATGTCTTCCACCCATGACCTACCCATTCACCGTTCCAACCACCAGCGGTACTGTCTCCCGATACTCGATATCCTGTGCCAATTCATAGAGCGGACGAGCAGCCACGGCCATCTAACAATTATTTTTTAGGTTTTGATGCTTCTTCCATGGCTTAGATACCTTTGGGTCGAAAAGGAACAATAAGACGCAATCCGAATCGATGGCTTCCACAGCTTCACGTGGCTTGGAGAGGTCGTGCTAAACCATTCAGATTTTTTTTTTCTGTGTTCCAAATCACCAAAATCAAAACTAAAAATGACATGAGGGAGTAGACATGATTAGCAATCGTGGCTAGCTACACGATTTTAGACGTACGTAAGCCAGGTGGCGCGTGCGTCGGAAACATTTCGCCGAAACAGAGAGGATAGCCCGAAATTCGGCAGCGGCTAATGCCTGCTCGTGGGATTTATGGGTTTTTTTGTAGTTTATAAACTACAAGGATTGCTGACAAATTAGCAGCCGGAAGCCAAGCTTCTACATATTGCACACCAATAGCGGCCGAGACGAGAATCGAATGTAGCGTGTCAGCGCCTCGACGGTCCATTCCTTGTGATGGGCGACGGCTTTCGTCTTTAAACTTTTATTAAACCTGTTAAAAACGCGTTTTCACGTCATTTGAAGTTTTCGCATTATCGCTGAGACCAAAATTTTTTAATCCAAAAATTAAACAAATTTTTTAGGTCGAAGCTTTTGGCAAAAATTGCCCAATGCTGGTCAAAAGATCGATTTTTTGGATTTTGTAATAAAAAATTCGTAGAGTTTTTACGTTTAGGAATAGTAACAAAAAGCTCAGAAACACTTGCGCTTTTCTTATATTAGAAAAATGGATGCTAAGCGAAAAGTTGGTCTTTTGAAAAAAAAACACCTCTGTATCCTGCGGCTTCATGGTGATTATTGCGGGATGGGTGGCCCTGGAAACCGACAAAAATATATAATTTTCGATGAAACACGCTCTTTAAACAATTAAAATAATTGCTACCACTGTGACACCTTCTCATCGATGAGGGCTCCGAAAGTGTAGTGTCCTTTCAACGCCTCAGCCGTTTCCTGATATCTCCTATATGCTTCTTCATTCTCGTCGTGACCGAAGAATAGATGAACCGTGTCGAGGGGATGGCCATAACCCTCCAGCATCCCCTCACGCCAGTATGGAACCTAAAAGACAATTTTTAAGGGTTCTTTTGCGTTAACGGGGGGGGAGAACCGGATTTTTAACCCAGGTCTAAAAATGCCTAGAAATGAATCGGTGGAGTTTTTGCTAGTGTTTCAATAAAATTTAATTTGTTTGATTAAAAAATTACGCTCGCGGCACTTTCAATAAAAATATGTATTATACTTTTTCGATCAAAGGATAGCAAAACAAAAACCCAATATTTTGGCTTTTTAGATTCGAAAAATTCGAGCCTAAGGAATTCACCACCCCCCCGATAATGCAAAAAGACCCGTTTTTAAGCTTAATCAAGCGACCAACCAGGTCCTCGTTGACTCGATGTACCGTATCGTCGATAGACCTACGACGGAAGGATTTGCGAAATTTTGACGGAATTCACCTGATGACCAAATCACTGATGTCCTCCACCGTCATCATGTCCAGTTCCGTGGTCCACGCCTTTTGCAACTAAAGTGCGAGGAATAATGCCGACCGCAAAAATACCGACAGTCATAATGCCGACAATCATAATACCGACAATCATAATAAATCGAAATATTCCAGACGCTAGTTTGAATGCGACTTCCTTTTAAGCTGCGATTTTGCATGTCGGTAACCTGGGATTTTGGCTGTCGACGTTCGAGATGCCGGGATTCTGCCTGTCGGTATTTTTGGATGTCGGCATTTTGAAGCTTCAGGATTTTGAGTGTCGGGATTTTTACTGTGGATCCTGGCTATCCTGGTTGGCTGTCGGGATTTTAACTGTGGATTCTGGCTGTCGATATTTTGGCTGTAGGGATTTTGGCTTTTCTCGAAGCTCTCTGATAACTACGCGACGATATTACGCGCTGATCACCTTTTTGTCACGATAGTAGCGTAGAGTTGGGAAGTGGGCCACGTCAACGTATTCACCGCATTTGAAGACGTCGTGGGTGCAGTCGATGATAATTACCTAAAATAGGCTCGCAAAAATTTAAAGCGACTTTTAACGACTTCTAAGTGCCAAATAATTCTTAAAATACCTCAGCCCCCTCCATCTCCCTCCTTGCCAACGAGACGATGACGGCCGCATGGTGATTCGCCATGCCTCCCTCTAAGCCGATGCTTTTTCATTTGCCCTCGCTTTTTTAACGAACCATCATTATAAAAAAGCGCAAATCGATGTTCATCCCCGGCCACAAACTTCTTCAAGACGCCCGGATTTTCCAGGCGGTGCTGCACAAGCTCGTGGGCAAGTTCACGCCATTTTTGGGCATCTGAAAGGGAAGAAAACGTGACGGACAACCAACAAAGGGGTTTTATTTTCAGACTCACGCAGTGCTGGGTCCTGAAAGGCTCTCGCATGGTCGATTCCCGCGCCTCGGATCGTTCTAAAATTTTTTAATGTTTTAGGTGCTTTTGCATTATCGGGGGGAATACTTTTTTCGATGTAATAGAACTGCCTAGTAATTGAATGGCGTTTTTTAATAGTCTTTCTAGCAACATTTTACTGTATTTCCAGTGTAAAAAAGCAAAAAGGTTAAATTGCGATCGGAAAGTCGCTATTTTTGCATTTTTTTTACTGAAAATTTGACTTGGCATTTCACTTACCTTGGTACTGTCTCGATTTATATCGAAAGCTGGAAGAAAAAGTTGGGTTACCCCCCCCCCGATAATGCCAAAGCACCTGTTTTAAGCGGTCCGTTTTTCCTTTAAATATAGCACTTCAGACCAAAAACTATAAATTTCGAAACATTTTAGAAGTTTGTTAATTGGTTTTTCCACTTGGAGATGTAACATTTTAAAAATCCGCTCATAAACTTTTTGCTATTACATGAATATGCATTATCTAGGATTAGGGGCAAAAATACAGCCTCATTCCCCCCCGTCCCCCGATGCCACAGAACCTCTGTTTTTCAGTGGTGTATTTTTATTTAGAAAAAAAAATATCGGTTTCAACCTACTCTACAATAACGCCCCCAATATGCTCCTTCTGGGCGGGCATCATCATTTGATTATCGATCCCCTTCGTCCATGTCTTTCCATGCACCTGCAGCTCGACAAAGTGCCCTTCTTTTCTTTCCTGAAACACAATTATCGACATTTTTCTTGACAAAACAAAACCTTTGTAATGTCAAGGCTCAGCAAATCTTTGTCTAGCGATTTTTGCAGACTTTCCACGGCCTGTTCGATGATTTCTTCTAAACAAAATACTTTTCTATTCCAGAAAAAGTTGATTTTAATGTGGGAAAAATCTGAATCAGAAAATTCTATTGTTTGGTCATGGAATATACTTATCACTGGATTTTTCAAACATCTTTAAAATAAAAATTTATAGTGTTTTTGTTAGGCTCGGATCACGAAAGCGTAAAAATCTTTTTAGAAATTAAACATTACTAGAGATTGCCAGAAATTCCTAGTCACTGAATAAAAAGTATTTGAATAAAGTTATGAGTAAAATTTAGGTATATTCCAAATGGAAAACCTATCTTACAACATTACAAAAAATAGAAATTTTGGTCGAAAAATCGTTTTTATAGTGCGTAATAAAATTTGTAAACCCTTTATTATTGTAAATTTCTAAAGTTAACATAATGCTTAATAAAAGTTTTTGCGCTTAGGATAACAAAAAATATTTAAGAAATTTATATGTAAAATGGATACTTTGGCAAAAGCCCCCCGCTAAGAGCCTAGCCCCAAAAAAAACTTACCGGATCCCTTGATCGTCAACTCCAAATGTTGGCGATAGGCGTAAATAGCCGGGAAAAGTATTAAAAGCCGGATGAAGCCCCGGAAAGTGAACATCATAAGCCCGCGCCCCTAAGCTTTCGAAGCCGCCGTCTTATTTGTCTATTTGGAAGCAGCCGAGGCCACGATAGGGCACAGACTATACGAATCGCGTTCAGGGTTGATAACAAATTATTGAGTGACCAAAAGAAGAGCCCGCAGCGGGACCCAATTCTTTTTTTTGTCGAGGTCAGAAGCCGGTGACATCGGATGAGCCAGCAGCAGCAGCAGCGTCCGCCACACGTTCGCATCTTTGACGCCTCGCAGGTCATCTTCTATACGTACGTTTGTGTTTTTCATGATTTTATCGATTTATTTACATTATTATTACTTTTTAAGCGTCCATTTCCAAAGCTTTGAACATTTCATTCGATAGAGCGCCGAAAAATACCAAAAGATGTTTTACGGTTTAAAAAAACCCATATTTTAAACCATTTTTATCGCCGAGAAATGGTTTTTACGCATTATCGGGCACCATTTATTTTTCTAAGGATCCAATTTTGCTCAACTAAATAGCGAAATTGTTTTGAAACTGTTTTTACTGTACTCTAAACGTAAAAAACGACAAACTTTCATGGAAAATGCAAAAACATAGCCTTTTTGGCGCAAAAATGGCCGTTTTTGACCGAAATGTCGGATTTTTAACGTTTTGTTTAGAGAGCTTTTCGCTTTAAATACAGCAAATTTCACTAAAACACTATTAAAGGGGAGGCGGGAACGCCCGCCCCCCCCCCCCCCCCCCCCCGCCCCCAGAACGGGGGGGGGGGGGCCGCCCCTTGGCCCTCGCCCCGCAAGGGCCCCCCCTGGGGGGGGCGCCCCCCCCCCCTCCCTCCCTTTCTCCTCCTTTTGTGGGGTGGCCCCCCCCCCCACCGGGAAAAAACCCCCCCCCGGTCCCCCCCCCCCCCCCCCCCCAAATCTTTTTTTTAAAAAAATTTTTTTTATCTTTTTAGGGGTTTTAAAATACTTCATACAACGTTACTAGGCATTTTCGGGCTTCTGGGACCCCCCCGATAACGCGACAGAACCCAAAAAATTGCAGCACCATTCTTAAGTCCAGAATCGTTAATGACGAGTACGTAGCTTCCCGATATCCATCTTTTAGGGAGCATGGCTAAAGCATGTCCGTCTCTCCCTTTCCTCTCCCCTTCCTTCTTCACAGATTCTCCATGGCTTCTTCCATGCCCTCCGGCCACTCACCCTCATTTCTCTGGGCCTCTCCCCTATTTGTACCCACTTTCCACTCCCGGCCACCCAGAAATCCCCCCAAAATGGGCGATTCTCGTCCTCCCCGGCCGGCCGTTCTGGCCAATACCCCTCGGCTTCGCCTCCAGAAATATGCCATCCCTCAAAATTTATTGCTGCCTTTTGGTGCCTGCCACGCTGTTTCGAGCATCGCCTTTGCTCAGCGACAGATCTTCTTTGATTGCGTTTAATATTGATAATTTTTGCATTTTTAGTAAGAAACAGTAAGGGAAACTTGCGAAGTTTCAGCGTTTCTAAAGTTTAATCAATTTTAACAGTCTGGAAAAAATCTTCATAGAGCTTTTTAAGAGCTTCATAGAGCTTAAGTTTAGAAGCATATCTATAAACCAGAAAGCCTAAATAACTTTAGATCTTCCTTTATATATCGCCAACGGCGTATTTTAGGGCTTAGATCGATAATCTAAATTTGAACAATGGCTGTAAGCTTCCCAAAGTAGACCAAAGGTATTACTAGACGTCTAGTGTGTATTTTAATATGCCAAACCAGACTAGATAGCTTGTTAGGTAGTTTTACCCATAGCAAATTACTTTATAACACTGCTTCAACTTTACAAATTCGTTAGAAGGCTATGAAAACCATGAAAAACGATAGGTTATTCATTTTTCGATTGTTATAATGGGCACATCTGCTATTTCGTGCCCCGGCCTTTATCATTCCTGCAGTGAAAAACGCTTCAAAACCCCAAGAAGAAGCACTAATGCTAGGTCATGTTCAGAAGCAGATGCTCGCTTCATCATTGATTAAGCATTGATCTGGTTTAGTTCTATTTTTACAACCTTACAAAGCTCTCTTTTTTCTCTCAGCATTTTCAAACATTTTTTGATTGCAGGTTCGAGGAGATGGCGTTGAAGAACATTCGGTCAAACCTCGACCGTCTGTTCGACAAGAGCCTCACCGATCTCATTCGTGGTATCAGGAACAACAAAGATAATGAGGTGATCCTCTATTAAACTTTTAACTTTGATATTTTAGGCTCGTTATATCGCGTCGTGCATCGAGGAGATCAAGATGGAGCTCAAACAGGAGTCGACGTTCGTCAAGGCCAATGCTATCGAGAAATTGGCATATGTAAGTTATACTTTATCGTTCAAAATGAATATTATTCGAATAAATGCATTTTATGCAGTATAATATTTATTATATTAAGAAAATCAACAACGTGTTGCTATTGTAAAAATGGGCGAAAGAATTGCGTATGCCTATGATTTCAGTTACAAATGCTTGGCTATGACATTTCGTGGGCCTCGTTCAACATCATCGAGGTGATGGCCTCAACAAAATATACCGAAAAACGGATAGGGTAGCTCCATATTCCCTGCTTAAAGTTTGTCGTCTCAGATACCTGGCCGCCGCCCAATCCTTTCACGACGACACCGAAGTGTTGATGCTGACGACCCAAATGATTCGAAAGGATATTAATTCTCCCAATATGTATGCGTTACCATATTTTTCCGTATATTTTCTGCCATTTAGGTATGATTCGGGCGTGGCGCTGGGCGGTATGGCCTGTTTTGTGACCCCGGATTTGGCCAGGGACTTGGCTAGTGATATCGTCAATCTGGTAGGTGTTAAAACCATTTTTATGGTACAAATAATCCTTAATCCCAAGTCATGTTCATGATTTTTTTTAGTTAACCTGCTCCCGGCCATACATCCGGAAACGAGCCGTGCTGCTGCTGTACAAGATTTTTCTAAAATACCCCGACGCGCTACGGCCGACGTTTCCCCGATTAAAGGAACGGCTTGAAGACGCGGATCCTGGTAGGTTTTCCGGCATTTTATAGTTGGTAGACCTGCCAGAGCAGAGGTTGAGCCATCAAGCTCCTTTCCAGGCGTCCAAAGCGCGGCCGTGAACGTCATCTGCGAGTTAGCGCGAAAGAACCCGAAAAACTATCTGACGCTGGCGCCCGTTTTCTTCAAGTTGATGACGACGTCGTCGAACAATTGGATGTTGATCAAGATTATTAAATTGGTAGGCGGGAGGTTTAAATTATTAGTTGGTTCAAAAGGCCAGAAACTCGTTCTTTGGTGTGGATAGGCAGAAAATCAGCAAACTTTTTTCTTTGAATCGAATTTTGTGAATACTATTAGAGAACCTGTTTCTAAATCGTTTTTATTACCCTAGCCATCGAAATTGTCTAAATTTTCGGCGAACTTTTAGGAAAACTTCCGCATTAATAAATGCTAAAGACTCATTTTTTCTTAATCACTGTTTTCCATTTCCCCTTTCAGTTCGGCGCGCTCGTCCCGTTGGAGCCTAGACTGGGCAAAAAGCTGCTCGAACCACTGACGAATTTGATCAACAGCACCTCGGCCATGTCGCTGCTCTACGAGTGCATAAACACGGTCATTGCTGGTACGTTTCGAGCCCGAAACTTCAAAAACTAAGCTTTGTTAGAAATTAATTTCGAACTCGCTTTTCAGTGCTCATCAGCACATCCGCCGGCACCCCGGGCGACCACACGACAAGCATCCAGCTGTGCGTCCAGAAGCTCGGCCTGCTCATCGAGGATTCTGACCAGAACCTTAAATACCTGGGCCTGTTGGCGATGGGCAAGATTTTACAGACGCACCCGAAAGCTGTGCAGGTACGAGAGAATACGTATAGATGGATTGCGTTCCGTTTGATTTTTCCAGGGGCTTTTCCAGGATTTTTCTATTCTAACTTGCTTTCGGTGCATTTGTTTCGCAACTTTTTGACCTAGTGAATATTTAAAACAACGTTTTCTTACATGAAACCACAAAAATGTGTAAAAATGAAAAAGCCGATGAAATTCGGTGAAGTGAACTAAAAATGTTAATTACGGAGAACTAATACGCCTATTTAGGCGCACAAAGACATTGTTCTACGCTGCCTCGACGATCGTGACGAGAGCATCAGGATAAGGTAGGCAATTGCTCAGGGAATAAAACGTTATATACCACTTCCAGGTCCCTCGACTTGCTCTACGGCATGGTGTCGAAGAAGAACATCATGGAGATTGTGAAGAAGCTGATGGAACATGTGGAACATGCTGAGGGATCACATTATAGGTGCGAGCAGCGGGACAATCCCTAATTCTCAACCATTCTAGGGACGAGCTGCTGTCCCGGATCATCTCCATTTGCTCCTACAACAACTACCAATACATCACAAACTTTGAGTGGTACATCTCGGTGCTGGTTGAGTTGACGAAGGTCGAGGGGACGAAGCACGGCGCCAAAATTGCTGAACAGGTCCATTTGGATTGAAAGCTACGGAAGAATAGGGCCAGCATTGACGATAATTTTTCGTTGATATTCCAAATTCTAAGAAAGAAATAGTAAGTAATTTTAAGGTGGTTTTGATCAATTCATGCGGAAAACGACTATGAACCTTACGAAAAGTTAAAAAAACTGATAGGTTGTTAGAAAGTTAACCATTTAGGTCTTGAAAGCGATATTTTCCGTATTTTTTAAATGATATTTTGATGTATAGCAATAGTAAAAAAGTTGAAATATTTCCTGGATTTCATGAATAATTGGAAAGCTAACCATTATAATCATTGCTAAAAACGAAAATCCCATTTTCTTTAGATCCAAGACGTCACCGTACGCGTCCAATCGATTCGCCACTTCTCCGTCTCCCAAATGGCATTATTGGTGGAGAACGCGAATCTGCTCCTTTCCGGAAGCGCACAGCAGCGCTCAAACATCAGCGAAGTGCTGCTGGCGGCCGCTTGGATTTGTGGCGAATATTGGGAGCATGTCCGCGATCTGGATGGCGTCCTCGCAGCCATGCTCAAAGCAAAACCATCGTTGATGCCCGGCCACATCCTGTCCGTCTATGTGCAAAACATTGGAAAGCTGTACGCCGCGCTGTTGGGCAAGGCCGAGGCCGAGGACGATTGGGACGCCGTCGAATCGCTGGACAATTTGATGATGAGCAAATTGCCGGAGCTCGAGTTGGCCGAACATTTGGAGGCTCAAGAAAGGGTAAGTGCCAGAGAATTGGGGGAATAGCCCAAAATACCGATTCAAACGTAAACGCCATATTCAAAAAAAGGTGGAAATCCCGACAGGTCAAAATGAGTGTCAAAACTTGGCAGCAAAAATCCCGACATAGTTCGGCGTTTCGAGATTTCGATTGTCGCGATTTTGATCTGTCGGTATTCTGGCGATTTGCAGTTTAGGTGTCGGTATTTTCGAAAATTTCCTCCAAAAGTTTCCGCTTTTTGCGCATTCTATAGTCTTAAAAAACCATTTTAGGCGTGCACCCTAGCCGCGATGCTGCGCGTCCTCGAGCAGTACCACAGTCGAAAGGAGAAGGTTGGAGCGGAAGTGTGCCAATTGTACGAGGGAGAGCTGAACCCGGTGGCCGGAAAGGCACAACGGAAAGTGCCACTGCCGGAGGGTCTCGATCTGGATGTGTGGATCGGAGAGGAGTGGCAGGAGAGCGCGTCGGAAAGCAGCGATGAAGATGAGGCCGAGAAGACGTTCGGACAGATGCGGGTAAGTTAAAGTGGAAATGTTGAAATTAATCAATGAAAAATCTGGAATTCACTTTTATTCTAGGTACGCAGCGAGTTCGCCAACTTTGGCGGCCCACCCCGATACGAATCCGACGGCGAGGCCGAGCCCGCACACCAGAAAAAGCCGAAAAAGAAGGAGTCCACCGAGCTGACGCCGGCCGAGCTGGAGAAGCGGAAGTTGCAGAGAGAGCGAGAGATACAGAGCAATCCGTGAGTTGTCGCCGTTTTTTTGCGATTTTAATCACTTTAGGTACTACGTGAAAGGAACGGCCACACAGCCAAAACGCCCCACCGAATTCCAAATGGCGCCGAAAGCTGAAGAAAACGGGACAACATCGGCGCATTTGAATATACAAAGTCCGCTGGAGATTCCAGGTATTTGTTTAAAGCAGTTAACAACTAAATAAATCATGAAGCGCAGAAATTTTACAAATTTTCATGCAAAATCCAAAAATATCAGCTTTTGGACGAAAATTTCTATTTTTGCGCATTTTTAACAACTTATAGACAGTTTGAAATGTAGCTAAACTTTAAACGTATCTTAAATTGTTCAAATACCAAAATACAGATTTTTCGGCCAACTTTCAATGTTTACGCATTTTTTTCCATTGAAATTTAGCTAAGATTCAGCAAAATTTTTTTTATGAAAACAATTGCTGTTCCATTAATACACATATATAAATTTGTAAAAGCACCACGGGAGCCCTTCTAGTAAATTTTCTAGGCGTCGTCGGCCTCTCCCGTTATATGGAACAACAGGACGCGACGTTGACCTGGAAGAAGGCGAAGAAAGAGAAGAAAAAGACGACGAAAAAGGGCAAAAAGAAGAGGCATGACACGACTAGTGATGAAGACGAGGCCGTCGTCGTTCACCAGGTACATTTTTTAGTTTATTTTTGATTTATCATTGTTCAGGTGAATCGACATGACGGTGAGATGCCGGAGAACGCAAAATCCACCGACGATGAGGCCGAGGAGAAAACGGTCCGTTTTTGGACGTTTGACGATTTATGAAGTATTTCAGAACGGCTTGACCGACGAGTTCAAGGCGCTTGACGTGAATCTGGACGAGCCGCTCAGGTTCGTTTGCTTAATAGTTCTTTCATAAAACAACGGACGTAAATTTTTTTTCTTTAGGATTTAATTTTTCTGATATAAATTGAGGATCTATTCCAGCCTTTTTTCATTATTCCCTAGCGGAAAATCTACATATTTTAAGACATTTTACATAGGAGAACTTAAAGAAAAAAGAAAAAGAAAAACAAATTATGTAAATTGACTAAAATAAGAAAAATGAAAGAAAAATAAAGAGTAGAAGATATAAATATACAGTTATAGGAAAAATTAATCGTTCCCTTAATTCTGCAGAAGCACCGTATTAGTATATTTCTCGGATTTAGACCCGATGAAATCGTTCGCGGTCCCCAGGCATATATCCGACAAACCGTCAGCCATCGTCCACTTATGGTAATAATTTTCCGGGGTTTTTTATAAAGAGTTTCCGAAGCTCTAAAACAATTTTTTGAAAATACGAAAATCCCCCTAGCATCCCTACGCGATAGACGAGGCCTACTCGATGGAATATGTAAGGGCGCATCGGGGTCACGTGAATTTCGAGATGTTTATCTATATCTATCAGCCCCGTCCGTTACTGTCCAAATGACGCGGCGAGCTGTGTGAATTTGTTGTCAAACACGTCTAGAATCCCCTGTCGACAGGGAACTAGCATTTTACGATCGCGCTTTTTGTATGTTGTCGGCGCCGTTGTGGGGGTTAGTGGAATTTTAAAAGTTGTTGCTTTTCAGCAGGGCCCACTGCAACCTCGGCCACCAACCACGGGACCACTGCTGAAGAAGCCGGCCGTAGAGACGAAGAAGAAAAAGAAGAAGACCGAAAAGGATGCGGAGGAGTACGTGTTTACGTTAGTTTACGCCCAGTTTGCACCGTACTTATTTTTAAGCAGGAAAAGTGGAAAGAGCGCGTTTTTTACCTAATCTAGCGTACAGTTTTTCGGACTTACAGACGAACATATCGGGGCGTGCGTGTTTTTAGGAGGTTTAGAGAGAAAGGAGGTTTTTAGTACGTTTTTACGGCATTTTTAGCCGAAAAACAATAGGCAACAGTACGCGGGCGTCAATTTACGTACTTTACAATTGACGTCAACAAGAACGGTTTTTTAGAAAGCCCAAGAAAAAGAAGAAGGCAAAAACCCCTGGAGCGACGGCCACAAACGGCGAACCGGTTGCGCCCGAGGCCACAAATGACATCGACACCTGGCTGGACACGGAAACCGTCGTTGAACAAGCAGCGGATGCGCTCAAGGTCGGTTCAAATTTGATACAAAAAAATTCCGTTTTCAGGCCGAAAAGAAGGGCAAGGGCAAAAAGAAGAAGCTGGCGGTGCCGTCGCGTGAAGCCTACGAGCAGCCATCCGGTGTCTGCACGCCGTCCTCAAATCCGTTCAGCGAATCGATCGGGGCATCGCCCGCGTCCAGCCATCCACACCTAGCCAGTCTGGCTAGTAATGGGGACTTGAAAGCGGTAAGTCTGGAGTGAAAAGTTATTACATTAATGCATACAATTTTTAATTATAATTTTATCAAATCTTACCCTATTACAGGTGGCAAAACCATTTATAAAATCTATACATTTTCTAAAAAATGAAAATTTGGATTAAAATGGTAATGTTTGTATTTTTAATAGAATTTCTGGAGCTTTTACGTATATAGATGGTAAAAAATAGTCTAGACAGACGTTTTAAAAAATTGGGCCATGGATTAATAACAAGTATTTAACAGCGTTCTTTGTCAAATTTAACTATATTTAAAGTGGCGAATCTATTTATAAAACGTCGAAAACGATCTGAAAATTTTATCGAAAATCGGCATTTTTCTGTTTTTTTTATATAAATTGGTGACGCTTTTACGTTCTGGTGTGGAAGGGGTTTCTAGGAAAATTGGTCCTTACGGGATTCCCCCAATAATACACAAGAACCTAATCTAAAACCTTTAGGAATACTCGGTCGGTGTTTGTCCGGACGAGCCTTCGGTTTGCGTGGTTACGGTGGCCCTTGTCAATGAGGGATCTCTGGAGGTGAAGCGGGTCGAGATGAACGTGTGCGATACGCTGAATGCCCGGCTGAAAACGCAGGGCGCCGAGGTGCGTGGTCGTAAATTAAAAGTACAGACTACGATGACTGATATAAAAATTATAGTACTGTAATCACTTCATTATAGGATGGTATTTCTGTGCCTACAATCCCTCCTGGCGGCACCGCCAGTGTTCATCTCCGGCTGTCCATTGCCTCCCCGTCGGTGTCGCAAAAGATACGCGGCTCGCTGACGTATTTTGTGCAGGTGAGTACGAGCCAGTAGGAGGAAAACATTCTGTCGAAATTTCGGATTTTCGACATTTTTGGTTGGCGAATTTTAGCGTGCTGAATTCGAAATGCCCAATTTTGGGTTTTAGAATTTTTTCGGGAGTTTGTTTCATCGCAATTCGGTCTTCTGCGAGTTGGATGTCTAAAAATGCGATTTTGTGGATTTTTGACACTCTGAAATGTCGGTATAATGAACTTTAGACACTCTGAGATTTCGGTATTATGAAATTTGTCATTTTGAGATTTGAGATTTTCATAAGCAAATTTGAAATTGAACTTTCGATATTTTGAGATTTCGAAATTATGAATTTTATCTTTTTTTCGATATTATGAAATTTGCACGCTCTGAGATTTCCATTAAGGATTGCCGGTATTCTGGCTTTTTGAAATCCTCATTTTCGACATTCTGTTACCAAACTCCCAACGGAATACCCACACAATATTTCAGGAGGGCGAAAACTCGAGCTCCGAGAAGCTAGACTTCAAGCTCGCCATCCCGACCACCACCTTCCTGTCACCAGCGACTATTGGAAAGTAGGGCCCATCAAATAATACGGTATCCCCGATTCAGGGAAGCCTACGGCATCCTCCTCTCCGGCGATGAGATCGACATGACCGCGTCGGCGTCGTGCAGTAGCCCGTTGACGTTTAAGCAGACCGTGCAGCGCATCACGCAACGGGCCAGGTTTTCGGGTGGGTGTGGCTGATTGGCTGGGTGCCAAAATGCTGATAATCCGGGAGAACTAGCAGAGAGCCTCTGTGGAAAAAGTTCATTTCCGGGCCGGAAAAAGTTGGGGTTTCAGTTGTTGAAGAAGTGGCTTCTGCCGCCTCCCTTTATGCCACTACACAGACTGGCGAGCCGATCGCGATACTCGTCAAGAAAACGGTGAGTCGTATTACATTACGCAATGGAAAGGCAGAAAAATGACCGATCCATTAGTAGAAAAAAATTAAAATAGCTTTTGTTAGCTCCTTTAAACGGGGTTAATTGATTACGCAATTGAAATCCGGACAGGCGCGTTGCGCGTGGCGGCAGAATATTCGTTCCACTAGCCAAAAACAAGTTAAAGTAGCTTTTCCAGCTCCCTCAAACCTGGTTAATTGATTACGCAATGGAAACAGGACGAGGTTAACGTATTACGCAACGGAACTCCGTACAGGCACGTTGCGTGTCGCGCGGCGTTAGAATAGTGCCTTCCCGGTTCCTTTAGACGGGGCTTAATCCATTGCGCAACGAAAAATCATCAGGCTGACGCGTTGCGTGTCGCGCTGCGCTGAAATCCACAAGCAAAGTCATGCCTTGCCTATCCCTTGAAATGTCGCCAAAGTCATCCCTCCTTTCACCCCATTCAATTCCAGACTGACGGCCTCCAAATCGACGGGAAAGCCGCCGACCAGCAGCTCATCTCCAGCCTGGTCGACGACTTGAGGGAGCTCTGCTCTCGCAAATAATTTAGCCCTCCCAAATAATCCGTACCAATTATGGCCTTTGAGGTTGTACAGTATCCCCCAATTTCCCCCTCTTTCTATATTTTCAAAACTGGTGCTATCCGGCATTCTCTGTCCTCTCTAGTCGTCTAAATTCTAAACCTTGCCCCCTTCCCCTTTCGCTTCTCTGCATGCCAATCTGCTCACTTGACATACATTTTTCGGGATACGGTACTCGATCCACACTTTCTATAGCATTACATTACATTCCATTCCAATCGACAAACGCGTCGGCCAGTGTTTGTTTGTGACTCTTCATTTGTGATTTTGGTCTACAGTGGCGGACAAAAGTTTCCAACATTTAGTTTTTTGGCTCTATTTTGCCGATTTAGTGTGGAAGTGTTCCCTAGATCGCATTCATAGCAGAATTCGGCGTGCTTTTTTACCTGCAACACGCTTGAGACCACAAATCCGCAAAATAAAAAAGTTTGATAAAATTCTCAAAAATGTCGATGACAAAAGTTTCCAACATTTTTCTTTAAAAGTGTCTTGGAAATGAATGGCGTCATCTAGAGTGTTAATATTGATGCCAAATAGTTTAACATACTTGTTTTCAAGCATTCATGGTTCCAGATTAATTCCTACAGCTCTCGGGAATTTTTTAAAAACATCGATTTTAATATGGAATTCGGCATTTTGACTTCTAACTTTCGAAATCTTAGTTTTTGTCTGGATATCGATATACGGCCCGATAGAGCGCGTAAAAACAAACATTTTGATATTACATGGGCTTCATCAATGCACTTATCCAAACGGATACGGACGGTCGACGCGCCTCATAAGTGGCGCGCATAGTAAATGGGAGGCCGTCTCTAACAAAAAGATGCAGTTGCGTCGCGCGCAGAATTGATTTATGTGTAGCTTCTTCCGCAGCCGGGAAGCACAAAGCAATTTTATATCAAAATGCTTGTTTTTTCGCGCTCTATCGGGCCGTATATCGATATTTCGACAAAAATCAGAATTTGGAGAGCTAGAAGCCAAAATGCCGAATTCCCATATTAAAATCGATGTTTCTAAAAAATTCCCGAGAGCTGTAGGAATTAATCTGGAACCATGAATGCTTGAAAACAATTATGTTAAACGATTTGGCATCAATATTAACACTCTAGATGACGCCATTCATTTCCAAGACACTTTTGAAGAAAAATGTTGGAAACTTTTGTCATCGACATTTTTGAGAATTTTATCAAACTTTTTTATTTTGCGGATTTGTGGTCTCAAGCGTGTTGCAGGTAAAAAAGCACGCCGAATTCTGCTATGAATGCGATCTAGGGAACACTTCCACACTAAATCGGCAAAATAGAGCCAAAAAACTAAATGTTGGAAACTTTTGTCCGCCACTGTATGTTTCCGGCGGAGGTTGGGAGAATAATAAATTATTCAGAGGTTGAACCGTAATGACACCAGATGGTTACAGTCGCTTCGCGACTGCAACCATCTGGCCTTCGGGCTACCCCACATGTCCCACTCCACCACATTCAGATACCCTACATAGCCGAAACCCCTTCAAAAACTACCTAAATACCTTCCTGATGGCTTGAGATACCCCCCATGGCTGAAATCCCCTTCAAAAACTACCTAAATACCTTCCTGATGGCTTGAGATACCCCCCATGGCTGAAATCCCCTTCAAAAACTACCTAAATACCTTCTTGATGGCTTCAGATACCCCCCATGGCTGAAATCCCCTTCAAAAACTACCTAAATACCTTCTTGATGGCTTCAGATACCCCCCATGGCTGAAATCCCTTCAAAAACTACCTAAATACCTTCTTGATGGCTTCAGATACCCCCATGGCTGAAATCCCCTTCAAAAACTACCTAAATACCTTCTTGATGGCTTCAGATACCCCCATGGCTGAAATCCCCTTCAAAAACTACCTAAATACCTTCTTGATGGCTTCAGATACCCCCCATGGCTGAAATCCCCTTCAAAAACTACCAAAATACCTTCCTGATGGCTTCAGATACCCCCCATGGCTGAAATCCCCTTCAAAAACTATCTAAATACCTTCTTGATGGCTTCAGATACCCCCCATGGCTGAAATCCCCTTCAAAAACTACCAAAATACCTTCCTGATGGCTTCAGATACCCCCCATGGCTGAAATCCCCTTCAAAAACTATCTAAATACCTTCTTGATGGCTTCAGATACCCCCATGGCTGAAATCCCCTTCAAAAACTACCAAAATACCTTCCTGATGGCTTCAGATACCCCCCATGGCTGAAATCCCCTTCAAAAACTACCTAAATACCTTCTTGATGGCTTCAGATACCCCCATGGCTGAAATCCCCTTCAAAAACTACCAAAATACCTTCCTGATGGCTTCAGATACCCCCCATGGCTGAAATCCCCTTCAAAAACTACCTAAATACCTTCTTGATGGCTTCAGATACCCCCCATGGCTGAAATCCCCTTCAAAAACTACTTAGATACTTAAAATTATTTAAATACTGAATTAACATAAATAAAAAGTATTAAAGAGAATAAAAATAACTCAAAAAAAGGCATCTGGGCGCGGGAAGGGCCTTGGGGAAGAGAGGCGAAGAGAAAGGGGGCGTGGCCTCCCGGGGAGAGGGCCCCACTCGTTTTATTAAGGCGCCACTTTCAAAGTTAATTTTAATAATTTAAATTAAAACTTTTTCATAATTTTTTTATCAGTTTGGGGGTTTCTGACCACGCTCTATCCGAATCCGAAGAGAGCTAAGCTCTAGCTCCTTTCCCCTTCGAGTTGAATCTGGGACATGACGGACAGACAGACAGACAGACACCACAGCAAAATTATTATAGTTGATGGCATGTTTCAGTCAATTTGAATCCGGAGCCAAGCTAGCTTCATCCTTCAGTCTGCTCGAAGGCTTGAGCAAATGGCTCAATTGGTAAGCGCTGGTTCAAGCTTCACGTTTAGCTTCATTTTTAAGCCTGCTATGCAAGGTTTTACCCATCTTAAATGGAACGGAACTTCATGCCCAAGTCGATGGCCTTCACCTGAGATCTTTGCTTCAAAACTTAAGCCTGCTAAGCTAGCTTCACCGAATAGCTTTGTTCTAAAGCGTGCAAAGTGAGGTAAAGCTTTTAGTTTTTAATTTGAAGTATGCTCAGCCAGCTTAAACGGAAGGCTTCTTACTTCAGCGCACGGCCCAATGTTTGAGCCGATAGCTTTGTTCCTAAGCATCAATCGCAAGCTTATGTCGCTGGCTTCACACTTAAGTCTGCTAAGCCAGCTTGAACCGTTCCAAGTATCAAAAATGACGGGTAACACCTCAAAAAATGGGTCGATAAATTATGCGCACTGCATTTAAAGTAAATAAAAAGTTTTATTGCCCCTTTTCAGCTGATAAATGACGCGTGAAAGCCGTCGCAATCCCTCCCCCCCAGGTTTGTTCAGAGGTGCCGCTCGTAAATTCTGGGCCTCGCTTGGCTACCGGACATGATAAGCCGTGATAAGCCGGCAGGGCTTCAATTTTGGGGTGTGGCGCTGCTCAAACCCCTTTTTGATTTTGGCGTATTCTTTGCAATGGGGTGTAGATTTACTTTTAAAGGGCTTGGGAAGCAGAATAATTGAGGTGCTTTTGCATTATCGGGGGTGGGGGGGGGAAGATTTGCCCAGTAGCGTAATAGTAAGCATATTAATATTGTTTTCTGTAAAATTTCACTGATCTTAAATCGAAAAATATCAAAAAATTTGTGAAACTCCAAGTTTTGGCAAAAATTTGTGTAAAAACAGTTTAGAAGCACGTTTTCGATTTTCCCCGATACCCGCCCCCCGATAATGTGAAAGATCCCGATCCTGGCGAACTCTCTCGCGATACGCAACGCGGCGCTCTCTTTGTCCTCCTCGAAGACGTCGTAACCCATTACGTAATCAAAAGGGATGTTGTGTTGTTTTTCAAAAAATCCATAGGGAATCCGCAGCCAATAAAATCTATCGCCATCCCTTATCCGTACCTTTAAGGCCACTAGATGCTACTCCTCCTCCTCATCGTCCTCCCCGCTGTCTTGGCCACCAGCGATTTGAAGCTGGGCTACGGCTGCGACAAGGCGTCTTGCGAATTCTCGATTGACATCGCTGAGGTAGGGATATTTTTTTGGAATTTTTGGGTTCTTGGAGTACGATAGAACATGCAATGAACACTCGTTTTTTTCAGGCGTTGGCCAGCTACGTGGACCAGAATGATTTTAAAACCCGCTTCGACGCCATTGCTACTGCACTCAACGACATCGCCGACAAGGAGACGAAGATTGATGTTGCTCTCGCGGATTTCGTTAAGGTATGCCGTATTAAAGGGATCGTGTGTTAGAGTCAGGGTCATGCTTCCGCTTGCCCGGGCCCGCTTTTTCATTGCGCGACCGGTTGGCTTTTTGCCAATTGTAGATGGGGGCTGATCGATGCGCGCCGTCCTGATCACTCTGACTGTAACCGTTTTTTGTTGACCGTGGGATTTCGATACGTGAGATAGCACATTTTGTGCAGAATTTTTCGCTGATTCCGAATCCGTTTTCAAAAGTTGCGGAACCCCTCTAGATAAAAAGTTACAGCCGGTTTTCTACCCCAAATGGCCGAAAATTACAAACTTTAAATCCTTATAAAAAACTCGTGGAACATTTTGTGGGATAAAATACAGCACTCCTAGGAGTAAAAAAACGTGCTCTTTCGAATGGGCTACCTCACGAACCCGTAGCTCAAAATTCATGAAAAAAGTTTTTCGGTGGACCATTTGGGGTAGAAAACCGGCTGTAACTTTTTATCTAGAGGGGTTCCGCAACTTTTGAAAACGGATTCGGAATCAGCGAAAAATTCTGCACAAAATGTGCTATCTCACGTATCGAAATCCCACGGTCAACAAAAAAACGGTTACAGTGAGGGGCCTGGTACACTTCGAACCAACGTAGTCGCCCACTAGGTCTTGAAAGTTAGGCTGGCCTGGCTTATAACGGGTCGCTTGCAGTGAGACCAGCGGGTCGATATAACCCATCAGCGTCATCGTTCAGCATATTTTACAAAATTGGACGGAATGAGCTCTCGAAAATCGCAAAAAAGTGCCACAAAACAATCTCTCGTCACCAAAAAAGGGCTAGACCTGATTTTACCCCCTCCCCCCCCCAACCGGAAGTTCCGAAAATTTTTCGAAATTTTCGCTATTTTGTCGGGATTTTTGGGTCTTACAACTATATTCTAAGAGTTTTCAAAATCTTGTAACATAAAAAAGTTATAGTGAAAGATTTTTGGGAGGGCCCGGCCGGTAAAGTAAGGCTTAACCCTAAAAACCAAAGGTATCCGCTCACAAACATACACTAATCACAAAATTTTGAGGTATGCTAGAGAATCCAGTGTCGAATTTTAAGAGAAATACCTAATGGATTACGCCATGAAATATTTTCCAGAATTTAAAAATTTAGAATTTCACGTCAACCTACGCGACGGTGCAACCAGTAGCTGAGGCTTTCGCCGCCAAGGTCGAGAGTTTGAAGGACGCCTTTGGCTCAACCGGCGACGATTCGGACCAGCTCGTTGTTGACGTAAGGCCGCTCAAAATGATATATAATTTGCTGAATTCAGATGTAAAAATTCTAAAAGTTAAAGTCTATATAGGCAGCCCAAGCAGTCGTCGACGCTCGGTGCTTCTACTCGAACAAAGACGAGCCGTGGAAATGCGTCGCCACCCCAACCACTGCCGCCCCGGCGTATTAACCCATTTAAGCCAGAATTTGAATAAATGGGTTGCTGTATTGGATAAAACCCTGAATTTAATTGAGTTGAAGGAAAGGATAGAAATCTTGGCATCGCAACGCGCAGTGTTAATCCTACCTTATATAATTTTCGCGCGTATGTGTGTGTGCGTGTGTGTGGATGTCACTTTCGAGGCCCGATTTGAGAGCCTTCCCCGTGCATAAAATGCAATGCTACGTCAACCGGGGGGAATCGACCCTTCTGTTTCCGATGGCGTTTTCAGAATTGCGAGAAAATACAAGTTTACAAAGTTAAGGCCGGTTTTATTCATTTTTGGGGGTTCCTGAGGGCTAATTTGCAAAATGCTAAAAATACAAATTTCCTCATTCTTGCCAGTTGCACTCGCCCGTGTGGTCGGCAGAGGGGAGGGGTCCGAAGGACCCGAGTGATCGGAAAGTCAAATTTATCGTGCAAAAACCGCATTCCAGCGCCCAAGGCCCGCGAAGCGGGTTTTGGGCGCTGGTAAATACAATAAAAAAATTAGAGATAAACTTGTTTTCTGGAATTTTCAACAGGTTTGGTAGATACGGGAAAACGGAAAATCCCGACATTCAAAACACCGACAGCTGTCAGCCCGACAGCATAATCCCAGCAGCAATAATCCCGACAGTCAGAATCCCGACAGGGCAAAATCCTAACAGCCAAAATCCCGACAGCCAAAATCCCGACAGCCAGAAACCCTGGAGCCCAAAACCATTGATGGGTAAAACCCCCGGAAATATCACATTTTGGCTGTCTGGATTATAGCTGGAATTCCGTAGCTAATCTAAAAATACAGTACACCTCAATATTCCTATTTTTGCATATTTTCCCGGATGTTTTGGTGTATTTTCGTGCATCTTTTTGGGCGGCTAATTTTCGGCTGAGCAGCGCCGACTGGCGTCGCTTTCCGGGGCGCCCGATTTGACCTCATAGGGGATTTGGTGCGACCAAAGAAGAACAATTTCTGTCTGTCTGTCTGTTTTTCTGCCTGTTTCTCTGTCTGTTCGTCTGCCAACTTGAAGTTTGCCTTTTTGCGTGTTTCGAGTCTTGGTAATGGGAGTTCCGGGTTTCGAGTGAATTTTTGGCCTTGGACTGTCAAGTCGAATTTTTGGACCCAATTTAGACTCTAGTTTGCCGCAAAAAATAGCTAAGATTATTTATTAGAGCGAAAAGCAGGGAATTACCATGATAGGCTTACTAGGCCATAGATGTCGCACCAATTTTGCAATGACTTACCCGTCCCCTCGCTGGACAAGTTCAGCAAGGTCACGTATTTTTCTCACTTAACTTTTTAATCATACTACGCTTCATACCTTTTACGAAAATTTTTGCGACACTAGAAAAATACCCTAGTACACTGGCCGACACGTTTAACAAGGTCGTTCCTCATTGCCGCTTGCGGCTCACCTCAAGTTCAAAAAACGAGCTTTCTGCTTTCGAGGTTTTATTTTCATAATTTTTAGCAACCAAAAACTACTAAAAAAACTCTAGAAATACTGCATATATCATGGACAGTGGGCGAGAAAACAAAAATCAGTTTCACAACCCACCCCCCCCCCCGCTAACAGTCCAGTACCTATTTTTCGCGCCTTTTCAACGCGGAACCGGGCTATATTCATACCGTATTCACCAAAAAATACAGTCAACAATGACGCCGCGTACAGATCGCCATCCGTAGCTGTAGCTATCTCTGTATAGCGCTCTGTTTGTTGACCATCCTTGTCGTTCCTCATCTCGTTCCGTCCGTCGGCATTCCCATTCATTCTGCGATTGTCGTCAAGGGGGGGCGCTGTAGATGTTCGGCTAGAGGATCGTCTCGTAGCCCTCCCCCTTCTCCTCTCTCAACTACTAGACCATCCACTTGACGACCGCTTTAACCCACGAATCCACCCTCAACAGCCCCCAGGTGACGAGGTCTAGCTAGAAATTGGGGGCAATCTGCCAATAGCCGGTCTATGCCACAGGAGGTTAAATATAGAATTGATGCCCGAACTTCGTTCCTTTAAATTCAGGATTTGTTCCATATACCCTGATGTACGGTACCTCGCCTTTATCTTATTCTCAGGTTCTGGTTCGTTAGCGGGGGGGACCCGGGTTTCTTTCGCATTATCGGGGGGGATTTTGTTATGTATAAATCTAGAAATGTCTCTTAACATAATAGGAAAGGTTTAATCAAGTTTTTGGTAAAGAAAAACGCTATTTTAAGTAGAGAATCTATCTAAAAATGCGCAAAACTTTTCAAAAAATTGAAATTTTGGTCAAAACCGGCCATTATAAACGTCAAGTCGTCAAAGTATAGATTTTTTGTAGTTTTGTATTTTTAATAAAATTTTGTACGTTTTTTAGGTTTTAAAATTTATTCGTTATCGTTCGAATTTGACCATATTTGTATTTCAAAACTGAGTTCCCAAGGAAAAAATGCCGAAAATACAGAAAAGCCAGAATGCCGACAGCACAGATTTCGGCCCTCAAAAGATTTGTCGGTTTGTCAGCGATGCTATGATGCATGTCGGAATTTCGCTATTTTCGTATTTTTCGTCGATATGTCGATATTATCGGCATTTTGACCGTCGTTTTGCTGACTGTCGATATTTCGGTTGGGGTCAATACGGCTTTAGATATTTTGGCTGTATTTCTTTGAAATATCGGCATTTTGGGGTTGTCGGCATTTTAGGTGGTCGCATTTTGGTTGTCGTTATTTTGGCCCGTTGAGACTTCAATTGCCGGCGTTGTGGCGCTCTGAATTTTAACCGCCAGGATTTTGGCTGTGTCTTTTAGCCGATGTCGATTGTCGGCATTACCGGCTGTCGGCATTTCGATTATCGGTATTATTGCTATCCTGGTCGTCGATATTCCGTTCAAAACTAACCTGGATGCGGCTCTTCGCCCTTTCATTCAAATTTCCTGTTCTCCCCAGCTACCACTTCCGGCAGGCAAAAGCCAAAGGGGGTGAAACTTGCGCGGTTTCGCCTCGTTGATACCCAACCGCATCCATTTCCCTTTTCGAGCTTTCGCCTCGCAACACAAGGAAAAAAGAATGGGCAGCAAGTTGTGCGCGACAGCAGGGCTTCTCACATTTTGTATGGGCACTTTCACCGCCCGCTCACAATTCCAATGTGACGATCCATTCATGCCATATGGGGGGAATGGCTTCGAAGTGGGCTTCCCCCAGGGGTTGCACCGAGTTTTTTGGAATCCCCGCGGTAGTCGCAACTTTTGGGATATGCCGTAAAATTTTACCGCATCCTCAGTGCCATACCGATGCGATGTAAGCCTGGTCTAAGCCTAGGCCTAAGTATAATTAAGCCTGAGCCTAAGCGAAGTCTGAGCTAAGCCTCCGCTCCGCCGCAGTTAAGCCTAGTCTAAGCTTAAACTAAGCCTAAGCCTAGCCTAAGCCTCAGCCGAAGCCTACCTATGCCGAAACCTAAGCCTAAGCGGAAGCCTAAGTCCAAGTCAAAGCCTGAGTGTAATAAGCCTAAGTAATAAGCCTATTCCTAAGTGTAAACTCAGACCTAAACCTAATCCGAGCCTAAGACCAAGCATGATCCTAAGTATTATCTAGCCCCAAACCTAAGTCTAAGCCCAACCTAAGCAATGCCTAAGCTAATGCGAAGCGAATTCTAGGGTAATCCTAAGTTAAGATTCAGCTCCGCTTCAGCTAAACCTAATCTAAGCTTAAGCTAAGCCTTAAGCCTAGCCTAGGTGCAACCTAAGCTGATGCTGAAGCCTAGGTCTAAGCCTACGCCTACCTATGCCGAAGCCTAAACCGGAGTCTAATACTAAGCGAAAGCCTAAACTTACGAAGCCCGCAACGACGACAAATGTCGAAAGTTGTCTAGACCAGGTCCCCAGGAGGGGTCAATTCCGGCATCTTCAAGCCCCTTTAGTCTGATATATCCAGCCGTTCCTTCCGGCTCTCCCCATCGGCATAATGACCGATTTGACCGTGACTCTTTGGCCTTGTTGTCCCCCTCCAAGGTCTCCTCCTCCTCCTCTTTGCCGGGGTCCGTATTTCAACCGGTTTCTTAGCCATCCGCCCTCTCCAGTCAGCCTGAATACTTCTGAAAGGCGCACCCTCTCTTTGCCTTGACTGACTCATCCGCTTTCCTAGGCATCAGGGGCGGCATCATTGAATCAAGCTCTCGCTGGCGCTCACTTTCGTTTCTTCACGGTTAGCTAGACCTGTTTTTATGAACTTTGAGTATTATCGAGAATTTTTAAGCTCACTTCTAAGGATGAATGTGACATTTTAAAACCTGAAATAAGTAAGGCTTGGCTTGATTTTGACTTAAGCTTTGACGTCACCCTGTCACCCTGGCTTGGTAAGCTTCTAATTGGCTTAAGTCTAGGCTTGACTTAGGCTCATCAGTGCGTTTGGCTAAGCTCGGCTTGGGTAAAAGCCGCGTGTCTTAGCTTAGGATTGACTTAGTCCTGGCTTGGATAGTCTTATGTTTCGCCTAAGTCTGGCTTGAGCTTAGGTTGGCTGGTCTTAGGCCCAGGCTTAGGCTTAGGTTAGGTTTAAGCTTAGCCTTTGAATCGAGAGAGTTTGACGGATAAAGCTTGACAGTTCGTTTAAAGGGAGTGAAAATGCGAGAATCGACCCCTTTCGGCTTGCTAGGTGTCGACATGGGCGAAAAGAAAGCGAAAATAAAGGTTGGCAATCGACCGTTTCCGGTTACTAGGTCTCGACAAAAAGCACCCCTATTTCAGTGGATTGCCCGTCCCTTTAAATTGAATGTGAGCGCGACACCGCGGAAAACAGCTCCGTCATTGAACTCTGGATCGGCCATCACTACCAGACGTTTCGGTTGACCTTTTCCCGCCTCGTTTCCTCTATCAACCCAGGATCCCCGATTCCCACGATGCCCTTCTCCCTTACCATTCCAAAATCACGTCAACGGTCTTCTCGCGTAGCCCCAGGGCATTTAATTGGTGATTTGGAAAGGGAAGCGAGAGTACGGGGAAGTCCTTGAGAC